CACAGTCACCTTTTCCTGGATGTATAGCACATAGGGGTTGAGATGCAATTATTCAGTATTTATGGTGGAGGAAGATGGTTCGTTTGAGGTGCCGAGGACCGCCTCCAGAGAGAGGCAGAGAGCTCTCGTGGAAATGGATCAACTTCTGCAATGAGCCGGCATGGCTGAGGGAGTAAGCAGGTTATTCCTATAGCCGCCATGTGCACAATCACAGGAATTTAAACCCATCTTAAAAGGAACCCCACTGGGAGTGTTTAGGTCCACAATTACAGTAAATGAAGATTCAGAATTAGCAAAAGCATTTCACTTAATTAGAAGCATTAAATAAGTACGACCAAATGTACAGTACTGTTTCTGCTAAAATGAGAAAAATAGCTGACCCTGAAAAACATTGTATTTATTTGCTTACTTTTCTTAGGTTTAGAAAACTACTAAAACAGCCTCCAAGTAAAAGATAAAGATGCAGATAAGGATAGCAAGTATTTTTGTCTTAAAAATATGTTTATTTATACAAATATATATGTTACATATATACACAAATATACACATTATATATGTATATACAGTATATATCTACATGTTTATCTAACTACCTGTCATCTACTATCTATCTATCTATCTATCATCTATTGATCTATCAAATACCTCGAGGTTGATAGCCTGCAAGAATGAAAAAAAAAAGGTGGTTTTAGCACAGATGTTATAGGCATTTTCCTTCTATTTCCTCATTTGGACATAATTTTCAAACTGTTAATTCCTAACTCTGATGATTTCCAATATTAACCAGAATTCCCTGAGTTGGTGTTAAGGCTGACAGAATCCTTAATCAAATTTCCAGAGAGACTACAGGGGAAGCTGGGAAAGAGAAGAGACAGGAGAGAGAACTGACAAGAGTGTCTTTCTGGGCTTCTGTCTGCACCTGCAGCTCATTCCCGTGCCGCCAAGCCTCCTAAGAGATCATCAGCACGTCTGCATCCTGGGACTTTCAGCCAGCCTCCTTACATACAGGGAGTCTGAGAAACAGTTTCATTTTCAAAGACAGATACGTGTATGTATCTAGAACTCCGTGTCTGAGCTCTGTGACCTCAGTGAATCTGCTGGAGAAACCAAGCCAGCCTCCTACTCCTGTGAATCTTCCCATGTGATCAGACCGGAAGGGCTGCTGCCAGGAGGCTGACAGCAGCTGGGCCGCTCAACCTTTTATTCAGATCATTTCCAATCTCTTACATATAGAAATAGGGTGTGATAAAGAAAAAAGTACACATGCATAAACTATTTCCTTCTCTTTATTCAACTCTGTGTTAACTGCTTTCCTTACCTCCCAGAATATAAGGTGTTGAAGTTGTATATATTTATACAAATATATATGTTACACACAAATATACACATTATATGTGTATATATAGTGTATATCTACATGTATATCTATCTACCTGTCATCTACTATCTATTTCTTTCTAACTAAGAACAGATGAGGGTAGCCCTGGAGGTCATTGTGCTGTACCATCTGGTGACCATTGCTCCCAAAGCGGAAGTCAGGACACTGTCTGCATCACAGACAGGCTGTGGCCCCGCATTCTGAGCTGGTGGAAACCATGTATCTTGAGCTAAATCTGCGGACGGCCTTCACTTGTCAATTCGGGTTTATGCAAACCCGGCATGTCGCTCACTGGCATGGGGCGGGCGTGTGGCCACAACAGAAGTGAGTAGCTGTGACAGAGACCACATGACCCGTGAAGCCTAAAGGACTTGGTGTCTGTCCCTCTACAGAGGAGGCTTGCCTGTTCCTGGTTGTGAGTGTGGACTGTCGTGACCCTGGGCTTGCTCTGGGGAAGGGTGCGTCCAGAAAGGAACATCTGTTCTCACATGAAGACATCAGCACTAACCCAGATGCCAGTGGTGGAGAGCGGCAGGAAGCCTAGATGTGAGGAAGTGCTTTACAGACACTCTCATGGGTCACTCTCACTGTAGACCCCGGAAATGGGCAAACCCAGGAGGCAGTATTTAAATTTGAAACCAGTCAGTTCCGCAGCTGGTCCCCAGCCCACACACTGAGACCTCGGTCTCCAAAACCGGGCCATGGCCCAGCCGGGCCTCTGTGTGCATGTTTGCTCTTACACCCGGTGTAAGAGCAAACAAAACCTCACTCCTTGAGAAACTGTACAACCTAAACTTGATGAGAGGACAATTAGGACTTTAATTTTCTTCTCCTTGGGCAATAGGCAAAATCAAATGGACTCACTCTGCTGCCGAAGGAGGCGGCCATGAGTTTATGTAGCTGAGAGGTCCGCTGAATTTTTACTCTTAACTAAGCATGCAAGATGAGTACCAAAATCATTACATTTATGTGTTTTTAATGGCTTGTCTGGGTTGTTTTGTCCAGAGCTGGTGACGGAGCTGAGCGCTAGCCAAGCGTTTTAGAATTCACACAGCTCTGTTTCAACATAATAATTTGACAATACCTGGGGCTCCTGCCATTCCCGGAGGTTATGTTTTTTGAGTCTCACAGCACATCAGCATAGCAATCAGCTGGCCGGCGGTCTTTGTGCTGGAATGAAGGGCCCAAGAGGTCCTCACCACCCCTGCAGGTGGGGCGGGGGGGAGGGGGGGCGCGGGGGCGCGCAGCACAATGCTTCATTTTACCTGGAAGCTCGCTCTAGATCGGGTCTTTCAAGCCGAGTGGAGCAAACTCTGCTCTCGCCGCCCTTGCTGCTCCTTGCAGTTTTCTGATGAAAGCCCTTCTGTGCGGCTGCTCAGCCAAGTCCCGGTTTGTAACTGGCTGCTATTTCGCTGTTGTCGTCAATGGAATCAAAATGTGTCCAGTTGTGCACGTACACGCTGTCCCTTGACACAGAAAACTGAACGGGAATCGCCCTGAGGTGGGCAGAACTGGGAAATTTGCTTCCTAGTTATTGGAAAACGCACTGGGTCGCAAATACCAGTCGGTGATTGCTTCTTTCGAGAGCTTTCGGTTTGTCATCAGCATTTATGAGCCATGATGTTTCTGCTCCTGATGTTTAAAAATCTCAGCTTCGGTTCTCAAGGAAAAACTAAAATCAAACAAACTAAAATTAAAATTAGTCATTTAAAAATATGAATGGCATTGTGGTTTTTTTTTTAAAGTAATAATTGGGTATTTGATCTACTCTGAGTTAATTTTTGTATGAGTCCAAATAGTGCTCTCGTTTCATTCTTTTGCATTTCATTAACCAATGTCACACGAATAAATTTAATTTAAAAATAGAAATAATAAGATGACATGAAAAATTTGGGAAAATAAAAGTAAATAAGCAATAAGAAATATTTTGTGATTTTGGCACTAAGGAACTACAGCTTTTGACAAAGCACTCACACATTTGGTTTTTCAGTCGGCATAGATATATTTGATATCTCAATGTCAGTAATATGAAAGTGAATTTCCAGTTTTCCTGGAAAAAGACTAATTATTGTTTTGAATGAGCCTGATAGTTTAAAAATGTGATCAGCCCTGAAGAAATCCCATAAGGAAGGTGGGGCGTCAGCGGTTATTCCTACGGAGTGCTTGTTTTCTCTAATCTGCACTTCCTTTGCCATCTCTAATGGGCTGTTCCCTCTCTTCCAGCATGTCAGGAGACTGTCCCTGAAATTGGAGCTGAGACACCCAGCAACCTGGGGGACCCCGTGAGGGGCAGTCAGCACAAACACAGGCACCCTTGTGTTCAGGAACGAGGTCAGTGACTCTTCCTTATGAAAATATGTTCTTAGGACGAGAAGAAAGGATATGCATGTGTGTGTAAGAATACATGTCAAGCCAAGTGCATAGAAAGACACGGTCACCAACATGTCTATACACAGGGTTCCTGATGGGAAGCAAATAAGATATGGCTGACAGCTTTGGGAAACAACAGGCAGCTTCTATATTCCAAAAAGTCATTGATAGACTGCTATTACAGAATTAGTGAGACAAGTAGTGTTTCATTTAAATGGGGGTTGGTAGCGCCTCTTTACAATATGTTTTATGTTGATGTAAATGATTATGGATTATTTATATTATTTGTTTATGTGTGGGGTAATGCTGAGCCATATACTTATAGGTAATGCTTAGTCTGTGAAAGGTTTTCTTTCTGAGAATTAAAAAAAATGTTAACAAAAAGGACCATTGTGTTTGTAACCCCTTTATCCATCTTGGATGATTCTAAAATAATTTCATGGATTTGAATTGGAAAAAATCAGTTCCAATATTGTGGGTTTTTTTCTATCATTTGTAAGGTACAGAATTTTATGATAGTTTGGTTATTTTTAGTGTTATTTTGCAAATCTGTTTCAGTCTTTTAGTGACTATATATTTTAATCTGCTGAGGAAAACCTGTGAAATGTTACTTGTTGACTTATATGGATGAAAAAGCATTTCCTTCATGTATCCCAAATATGAAAGGTCACTCATACCAATAGAAATGTGTTTAAACCCATAAAGTTTTGCTACCTGATATTTAATTTCCTAAACATTTTTACAGGTAGATTCATATGGCCATTGTCAAAGCAGTCTCTGAATGACTAAGTTCTCTCTTCATTTTCCCCCCAATATTGCACCTTCAAGCGTTTTACCCTCTGCCATTTATTTTCTGCCATTTTATTATATATATATATATATATATATATATATATATATATATATATATATATATATATATATATATGTCTCTTTGCCCTCTGCCATTTTCAGATCCAAAAAGCATTTGGCTGGTGCGTGGCAGCCCAGGTACCTGGTGTGGCTCTGACTACATCACCTCTGGAAGGCTGAGAGGCAGAGGCCTGACCTGTTTGTCCTTTCTTCTTGTTTTCAGCAGCCCAGCCTGCTTGTTCTGACCACCTTTGAACCTGGATTCCAAGCAGAGTGGGTGTGCATGGAGACTGGTCTGTTCCTTACCTGCTTCTGGGAGCTGATGGCAGACACTTTCCTGGCCACACCCCCAGCAGTGACTGGAGGTAGGCTTCTTGCAGAGGAAGGCCCAGAGGGGCCCATGGAGAACCTGTGGGTCAGGTTTCAGGAGCAGAGACAGAACAAGGAGGCTGCGAAGCTGCTGGCGGCCACTAGATGGCAGTCCATCCTCCGGGATGCAGTGGCCATGCTGTCGAGAAAGGATGCTGCCCATGCTGTGCCAGGAGCTGGAAGTGCCAGAATTGAATGGGGTGCTCCAGGCTCTGATGACCCCCGTGGTTTTCAGTGTCGGCTCTTCTCAACCACACCTCAAGCCCGAGGCGGCACAGCAGAAGCCACTGGATTTGGGTTTTACTTTCAGGTTTCAAGTGATGGAAGCCTGTGTTATAATCAAATGTGAATTAAAACACAATTCTTATGGGGGCTAGCCGAGAATGGTGATATCTCATTCAGGGAGGTCCACAATTTCTGCTTCTGGGCCTCCACATGGCTCTGTAATGTGGGTTGAGATGGTAAATGGCTTTTTATTTGTGTATGCGGTTTGTACTAAGATTTTTACCAGGAACTTTGGCTATTGATTCTTTGATTTCTGAAAAATACTTGTGTAGATAAAAAAATTACTAATGATTTGAGAAACTTGTACTATTTCTTTTTTCCTCCCGAATCAAAGGGTTAAACGAATGGGTGAAATATATAACTATATAACTAATAAAAATTTACCAGTATTTTCTTGGCATCATAATAAAATCATGTCTTATTTTAGAAGCATTTTAAGGTGTCTGTATATTATATTATATTTATTATATTTATCATATTATATTATTTAATAAAGATGTGTTACAACCTTAGACATTTAAAAATCTAAAGGATTCAGTGTTCCACATTACTAAATATTTACCCTTTGATGACTTTTTAAAGAAAATTGTTACAATTTCATCAATACCATCCTTAGGTTGCAAATATTAGACTCATAATTATATGAAATATGTGCAGTGTATGCAGCCCCTAATGTGTGCCAATATCATTAAGGAATTCAGCAATCTTGTGGCCGTGTACAAATTGTTATTATACGGTAAATAATATGCTGTGAAATAAATATGGTACCTAATAAGATAGTAAGCATAATACTGCATGCAGTTCTCATTTATGCAAAATATAAAGCTGCAGTTTACCAAGAGTCTGATCCAAGGAACTAAACCACTTTTTATTATTAAGAGTCTGTTAAACTTTATACGTTTTTATGCTTCATGCAATGCAAGCCTCAAAAAATACTTTCGACGCATAAAATACAGTGGTTGAATCCTCACCAGACTAATTGGCCCTACTGAAGTTTTTTATTGGAGCCATTGTATTACTAGTAGTTGGTACACTCATTCAGCCTCAAAAGCATAAATTGCCTAATATATTTCTTATCTTCAATTATTAAAAAATATAAGGTAGCCTCATTGGTCTTATTTTGTACAGATCTGAAAAATGCAAGTTGAACAGTCGTGTGAGTGGCACTCCTTGTTTGAGGCCCTCACTGTTAAGAGACCTCTGAGCACAAGTTTTCTAAACTGGTTCTGCAGGACATAACAGAGTGGGAACCCCTGTGAGCACAGGCAGACAGGGAGACCGACTGCTCAGATGGGCTCATACCTGGGGAAGTGTCTCCTTGAAGTCTTCTGCCAAAATAGAGAAAAACACAATTTCATATTTTATCTTTTCAAAAAAATGTTTTTATACAAACCTTTGTTAGGATGTTCTTAATGCCTTCCTTAATGTTTAAACATTTCTGATCATACCATTGAGGTTTAAATTATAATGGATATTTAGAGCTACTACACATATTATAATTTTTCTCCGACTTAAAGGCTAGTCTTTAACCTTTAAATAGAAAATATCCATTTTGACTTATATAACATATACGTTTTACCAATCCTGGCCCTCTGCCTATAAAACATCAGGGACCACAGTTTGGAGCAGAATGTGGGATCTAAGCTACACCCCACCTGTGATATCTCAGGGTCTCTCCTTTATCTTTTGATGTTTCCAACTGCTGAGGACCAATGCAGAGGTGTGACTGCGGATCCTGGTGGTACCCACCAAGCTGTGTGTGCACAGCTGATGTGTGACCTGTTTGCAGGAGGCCTCATTATCCAGGATTTGGCGGGGATGACAGGCCTCTGCAGTGGGCAGCACGAACACTTCCTGTTCTTCAGGTCTGAGACCAGCACCCTCCCTCACTTCCACCTACCAGCAATGGGGCAAGTGATAAAATCTGTGAATGACTATGAAATAAACAGGAGACATGCTCACTGTGGGATCTACAAATGGTTGCATTTAATCAGCAATAATTGAATAGTCCTGGCACCTGGACAGTCTATCTCTGGACAGAGGCAGCAAGACAATGACTTTAGTGTTGTTGTTTGTCCCGTGTGTGCCAGGAGACACTGAGGGCTGTGGAACTTAGGCTGAGGAGCAGCAGAGGATGGTGCTGGGGCTGGAGGGGGCAGCGGCCCCGTTATGGGGCAAGAACTCCACAGTCAGGTCCCTCTGCTCCCCTGATGCAATGATCATTTACAGGAGCAATAAGCTGCACTGATGAATATGATATTTCTCCTTTAAAAAAAACAAAACTCATTATCTTGGAGCGATGAGGAGATGAGTCGAGTATATATATTGACACATAATTGCCACTCTGTGCACACTGCAGCCTGCCATGTACATAGGGGCGTGCCTAACGGTCAGGAGAACCGTGTTCCTCCCTCCCGCGGTGCTCGCCTCGCTGCAGACGCGGATTGGAAGCCCTAATTGCTTTTCATCTCACCACTTAGCGGGTTCTCTCTCTCAGCCTCGGCACATGCTTGACTGTATGGCCCATGCTCCCTGTTCTCAGCAGCATTGCTGCTGGGCATCATCCGGGTGGTTTCTGACATCTCCATCAGCGTAGACACAGGTATTGATGTAAATTGTTGGCAAACACTGAGGAAGAAATATAGCTTAACTGTGTGTTAAATAAGTATATGTATATCAAACACAAGAGATTTGTAGTTATAGATGTGTATATATAATATATAACACATAAAAAAATCTGTGTATATAATATATATGACCCAGTGATGTTTAATATTCAGTGGACACACAAATGTTATCTAAGTTATTAACACCCATAAAATTAGAGTACTTATACACATGCATACACATATTCATGCATGTACACACATGTGTGCATACATGCCCGCATCCCTGTCTCCAGTTCTCCTTCCAGCCTGTGATAGTCATGGCCTGGGGGTCACAGTGATCTCCAGGGGATGCTGTGCCCCAGGCCACTCCTGCATGCTCGGTGCCCCCCACCTCAGAACACAAGTTTAGTGAGGGGACTCTCAGGGGGGTCCCAAGGTGCTGTATGAAGAATGACTAGGTTGTCACTCTTTACAGAACCAGGGAGTGAGGGATTAAAGAGTCACTTCATCCTGCTGGGACACCCTATGGAGATGGAAGGTCCCCTGGGACTACCTACTCAGCCTCCACTGGTGGCCCTTGGATCAGGGTCCTCCCTTAGGGAGTCATAGATGCCTTAATTTTGTGACACTTGCCTGCTCTCCTCCATTGGGGTGATTTCTGCTAAGTGACCATCAGCCTCAGTGCAGTCAGAGGGTGCCCACCTGCTGAGCCTCACCTTGATGAGGGCTGGGCACCTTGGCCAGGCCTTTGTTCCACCCACAGTCCTCCTTTGTCACCACCTCACACACATTGTTGATTCCTCTGGTCTCTGGTCCCTTCAGACCTTCCTGCTTTCCAGCACCTGATGTCACTCCTCCAAACCCTTGTTCACTTCCCTGTGCGAGGTCACCTCACCTGGCTGAGCAGATGCAATGCTGGCTCAGACAGCAATGCCCAGGCAGGCCTTCCTGCCCTGTCCTCAGTGCAACTCCTCTGCCGACGGAGGTCCCACAGGCTTCAGGGGACGTGGAGCTGGGCTGTGTACAAAGTTTTGTTTCAGAAAGAGAGTAACTCAGTACCTATGTACATACATGTGTATGAATCCGTGCATGAAATGGAACATTCCTGGTGATTCATCCTTCTTGAGCACCTGACCTCAGGGTCGGTGTGTGGGAGGCCGCCTTGGCCAATCTCACACATTTATTAACAGTTAGTTTCTCTCCTAAACACAGAATGATTTTACCATAGTCATTTTGGTAACTATTTTTTACCTTATTTCTGGTTACAAATTCCCTCTTATGTTTACCCTAAGTGGGGGGGCTTTGCATGTATTTATCTGAGTTCTTATGTTTCAGGTACATCACCCCCACATTGGCTGGCTGTGGCCTCCTCCCCACAAATTGCATCTTCTCCTCCTCTCTTTACTGTCTACAGGCGACTTTCAGGACGTGAAGGGCTGTTTTCCCCAGAGTCAGGTGCATGCTGGACAGCAACATTAAACATGTACTGAGTCATTTCAATAGCTATAGAAACCCTCTTCCAGGCCATGTGTGCTTTGGGGTACAATCACGGTGCTGAAATACCACAGTCTCTGCTACCTGAAGAGATGCCAGCATCCCATCGTAGAAGTTTGGGACTTTATTCCATGCCATACCATTGTTTTCACCTGAGACACTTGCCCCTTTGGAATGTTTCAAGGTGAATAAACAATCAGCCGTGAGCTCTGCTTCTTGAGACGGTGTCACTGCCTGGGGACAGCACAGCCTTCTCTGCTCTCCGTGGAACTCTGTGTGGGTGATTCCCAGCTCTGAGACTTGGGGATGAGAACAGCACCTCCCACATCTACTCAACCAATATTTTCAGAAGTAGATGAGGGGTGCAATTCTGTCTTAGTTCATATGTATAAAATAGCAACCATTTAACTGGTAGCTCTGTCTTAATGGCGCCTTGAGATGAATTTAAGAAAAATACATTTCAAACGCTACATCAGTATCCTGGGTGAGGGATAATGATGGGACTTCATGTCAGAGCAGTCAGACCAGTGAGTGTGGGAGGGCTGCCCGGGTCTTCACGTCTCCCAGTTTTATCTCCACATGTATGTGCATATTTGCAAAATGTGTGTTGCTATGGGAATGAGGGGATCATTCACAATAGAAAGGGAAGTTGGTAATAACACAGTAAAAAAGTTAACCTTTATCTTTTGTCTCATTAAGAAACTATAAACATTTTATTACACTTTAATGTTAAGTGATTTATTAACATTTATAAAAGTATATTATTATATCCCTATATATATATTTTAGCATGTGATATGGTGTTGTACACATGTGTTTTCATAAACATATAAATATAAACAATGTGCATTTACATATAATGTATTTATATATTATATATATTATTACATATTATTTCTATGTATTTATATAGACCCATTATAAATAATGAGCCTGTGTAAATATAAATAATGTGCATAGA